TGGGGCTGTCATGAACTTCAAAATCCAAAGCCTAGACAGCGAAAAGTGTTAGACCAATGGAAAAGGAATCCAACCTTTTTTTTTTTTTTTTTTTTGGCTATTGCACGACATGTCAACAGAAACCATGCCTTTCAAAGTAAGAAATGTGATGATCATGTAAAATGTGAAAAATTGAAAGCATTCCAGCAAAATAAGAATTTTTTATATCTTTGTTTTTTAAGATGTATATGTAAAAAAAAAAGAGAAGGTCACGTTATGGACAGACTTCGTGAATGGGAATTTGCTTAGAATTGTGAGTAGTTCTGAATTAGAAAAGTATGTGAATGAAAGGCAGCTGTAAATGTATTGCACCCTGGAGAGTTGTACACATGTTGAAATGTAATCTGGGCTTACCTGATCCATTTGGAGTGGATGTCACTGCCGAATCTGTTCTCACATGGAACCATGTGCGTGGGGTTGCCAGCCTCACAGATACAATCAATCCTATTCCCCCCTGACATCAGGAACTCCTCCGGAGTGGCAGAGTCTTATCACAGAAGGCAGCCACCATTTCACTGAAACAAAAGTTCACGGCATTCAATTCCTTTTTCCTTTAACTATTTATATACTTAGTACTCTCAGTGATATTCAGAAATACTTTTTTTTAAATAATTAATAGTTACAGGCTTGTTGGTCCAGTGGGATTTGGGTAGGGGGAGAAAGATACCTTCTAAAATGAATCAGTACAACCAAAATAATACTGCATGTTCTATAACCACAAGGAAATCAAATGATTCTGTAATGATTCCAGTTAGTCATAACTACGTTAGTAGTGCTAAATTCAATTTAGAAATGGTGACTTCTGTGGTTTTCCTAGCATTTGTCTCTAACAAATGGTGAAATAATTACTCATGGCCCTCTCTGCCATTGTCTTTCATTTTTTCACAGTGAAATTCGACCCCTTTACTTCACCATTCTGCCACTGCAAATTAAGTATAAAGAAAATAGCAAGACTATCCACACCAGTAGACAGTATGCTTCTCTACTTGTAAGTGACGTAATCATAGCTAATGCACTTGCCATGGAGTTTTCAAGATGATTGGTGTCAGACAGTTTTCATTTTGTTTAAAAAGTGTTGGTGGCCTTTTGTGGTGTTGTTACAATCCTCTGGGGGCTTAGGAGGATGTTGATGCAACTTTGTAGATGCTTTTAATTTCAAAAACAACTCAAAAGTCTGAAGGGCAGTCATAGCTGCCACTCAGCCCCAGTTAGTCAAACCCCAGTGACCTTTGCCCCTGGTTGCCAAGGGCTTTGCAACATGAAGCAGGGAAATAAGGATCTGTCTGTTTAGTGGATACCGTGTATCCTTTAATAGACCAGGTAACAGTTCGTGTTAGTTTAGACTATTGTTTTGTACTGTACTTTCTTGGGTGGCAGAGGAAAGAAAAGTAAAACATTAAAAAAAAAAAAAAAAAAAAAACTGCGTTCTTTAAATTCTGTATTATTAGCAACCTCTGTTGTATATAGTGTTTGATAATAAAGTATTAATTTGATTCTTATGTCTTTTGTAAGTGAGAACAATAGACTTTCAGGATACAAAACATGCATTGAGGCTTTGAAACATCCAATGTGTACCGTGGCTGAAAACAAGAGTCACAAGTGGCTGAGACACTGCTCCATACAGGACTCATGTGTGGCCATTGCCCACCCAATCTTATGACTCCATCATCTCGGGACCTGGAACAACATGACTTTTTTGATCAATATTTTGTCCTCAGTGTTTTCAAGGTCTGATGTTGGAGCCCTGTGGCCCACCCTCCCTTCTCCACCAGCATGTTGGTTTGAAAAGGATAGGGAATTTAGAAATGGTTCTGTACTTTGGTTTGGTTTGGTTTTCTGTGTGTGATTGTTTTCATGGACTGTTTTATTTTTTCCCAGGAAGAGTCTTTATCGATATCATGTGCAGCTCGCTCATGGAAATGGTTGCAAACCAATCAGTGTAGGAAGGTTCAATGGGGCTGTTTCCCTCTCCGTGTCGTTGTGAAAGGAAGAGTCACACAGTACCTGTGGATTTTCAGGGACTCTGTTTTTCTCCGGTGCCTTAGCAACGGCAGCAGCCATTTGTATTACTTTCAAATAATTAGAAAAACAGTTTTCAACTCCTCCTTTCCATTCATTGCTCTCAGAGTTGTGGTCA